GCACTCTGCCCAGGGGGACAGCTTGAGGCTCTGTCTCAAAAAAAAAAAAAAAAAAAATCAGAGAGTAGCTCGAGGCAGAGGGACTTGGGAAGCCACCCTTCGCTTGGGTTTGGGGGTGGGGTGCCTGCACAGGGGCCGAGGTTAGCCAAAGGGATGGCCTGAGTGCCCAGGGCCTCTCTGGAAAGGTGGAGAGAATGAGAGGTGGAGGAAAAGGTGCTCAGAGGAAAGGAAATTCGGAGCGAGAAGCACCGAAAGGGCAGAGACCTTGGAAAGAGATGGGGAGACACAGACAGGGGGTGACATAGGGAGGGGGGTTGATAATTGTCCCCAGAACATCAACTTAGATTCTATCCTAATCATAGTTTAGGAGTCAGGCTAATGTAACGGAAAGGAAACGTGAGCAGCCTCCGGTGGCAGAGGGATGACCCCGAGGATGAGTGTGCAGATATGCGTGTTTGCTATGAAATAGTGAACGTGTAACGTGGAAAGGAAGCTTAGCATGACTAGCTCCATCTTGTTTCTGATTCCCTACAATTATATCATTTAGATTAAAAGCTTCTCCTTAGCTCTGCAAACAGGTCAGCTAATTTTAGGAAAAATTTCATTTGAGTTAAATTAGAAAAAAGACCATAACCATCCCTTTCCCAAAACTAACTCCTGGGGAGGTAAAGAAAGTATGCACAGAAGTGACAGTGCTATGTTAAAGATCATAGGACCACAGTGACCTAAGTCAATCATCAATGTTAACTGAGAACAAGGACATTTTGCACCTCCTCTTACCCTTGTTCACTGACACCTGATGTCTGCAGATGTCTGCCTGCCTCAGTTGCCTCTTGTAATGCCCTACCTCTTCCCTCTTACCTTAACATTAAAAAGAGCCTGAAGTTCATACTAATTTAAGATGGTTCTTTAGGACACTACTCCTCCATCATCTCAGTTTGCTAGCTCTCTGGATAAAGTCACTTTCCTCACCTCAACACCTTGTCTCTGGACACAGTGATGTTGTGCTGGGAGTGGTACAAGTTTGGACTCAGTTACAAACTGTATATCTACCTTACTGTTTTATATTTTTCATTTTTAAAATGTCATACAGTAAAATTAACTTTTTTCTTCTGTGAATTTTCACACATGTATGGACACCTGTAAAAGTAAGATCTATGAATTTTCACACATCTGGAGGTATATAATAACCAGCATGATCAAGATAGAGAACAGTCTAACAGTCCAGAAACTCTCTGTGCTCCTCCCAGGCCAATGCCCACATCTGTACCCCCTGGAACGCCTTATCTGCTCCTCATCCTTTGTATTCTATTATTTTATTATTTTATTATAATTATTATTTGCAGTTCTGGGGCAGGGCGGGGTTTGAACCCACCACCTCCAGCAAATGGGTCCAGCACCCTACTCCTTTGAGCCACAGGTGCCACCCTGTTTTCTATTTTATGTTGTTATTATTATTATTTATAGACAGGAGAATCACTTTCTGTTGCCCAGGCTGGAGTGCAGTTACATCATCATAGCTCACTGCAGCTTCTAACTCCATGCCTCAGCAATCCTCCTGCCTCAGCCTCTCAAATAGCTGGGACTACAGGTGCCGGCCACCATGTCTGGCTGTTCCTATTATAGTTCTCTCCTTCTTCTTCCTTCTTCTCTTTCTTCTTTCTCCTTTTCTTTCTTCTTTATTGAGAATGGCATATAAGAATGGTATCATGTAATATATGTGACTAGCTCTTTTTGTGACTGGCTTCTCAAAAGTGGAATGCTTTCTTTGTTCATTCACACTGTTGTGTTTGGCATTAATTTATTTGTTTAGATTGCTAAATAGTATTTCACAGAATGGATATATTGAAGTAATTTAGCCATTGAAGTATATTTGCATTTTCCCCAAGTTTTGACAATTCTGAATAGGGCTGGTATAAACATTTTTTTTTTTTTTT